CTCAGATCTCAGCCTCCTCTGTAGCTAGGATTACAGGCATGAGGCATTGGCACCCGGCTTTCCCTGAGCTTTTTGCTCAAGGTAGGCTAGTGTTCTACTACTTTGAGCCACAGCTCCACTTCTGTTTTCTGGTGGTTAATTGGAGATTAGAGTCTCAGGACTTTATTGGCTGGGCTGGCTTCAAACTACAACCCTTACATCTCAACCTCCTGAGTAGCTAGGATTACAAGTGTGAGCCACCATTGGCCGGTAGTTTTATTTATTTATTTTTTTAAGTTCAGAGTCTATATTACTTTCAGAGCTAAGAAATTAACCTTTCTTCAAACCGTGAAATATTCCTTGTTTTGTTGCAGAGTATTAAATACTCTGTTGGGAAACCTGTTTTCCAGACTTAACAACTATATTTTTTGTCAGGAGTCTGACAGTTTGGTTGCTAGAATTATTTTACTCCATTTAAACTTACAACATTGTGTGTTCAAATTTCCATAAGATAATAGTTTGCTGGCTACAGCAGGGCGTGTGTGTGTGTGTCTGTGTGTCTGTGTGTCTGTGTGTGTGTCTGTGTCTGTGTGTGTGTGCTGGTCCTGGGCTTGAACTTAGGGGCTGGGCACTGTCTCTGAGCTCTTTTGCCCAAGGTTGGCCCTGTACCACTTGAGCCACAGCTCTACTTCTTGCTTTCCTGCCTGGCCTGGCTTTGAACTGCAGTTCTCAGATCTCAGCCTCCAGAGTAGCTAGGAAGCACTGGTCCTTGGCGTTCTCTGCAGTTTTGATGGTGAATACTGTTTTTATTTTATGGTGTACATAGTATTCTGTCTTCTCCTTATTGTGTGGTCCCAGATATAAGATGGCTATTCAGGTGGTATTTTCATTGATTTGTGATGACTTTAAAATTTTCAGAATGTGTTTCTCTTTTTTTATTTTTTAAAAATCTATGGTAAATCCACAGTTTAGTTGATCATCCAAAAATGTATGTGCTGCAGTTTTGTATAAACAAGTACACGCGATGTGAAAAGAGTACATCTTCATCGTTTTCCCTTATTGAAAGGACTTTCTGGTTTACATCTAGCTCAATAATTCTATCCTGCTTGTGCACACTGGTGCACAGAGGGTGTGGTGGTTTCATAACCTCCCATAAGGAAGGGATGTGAGGTGGTGTGCACAGGCTGTGAGGGGGGCTGCGGAGAGGAAGCCGACAGGGGCCACTGGTGGAGCATCTCAAAGAGTGGATACACATGTGCAGAAACTCCCATCTCCAGCTGTTTGGCCTTTGTGAAAGGGCACGTTTATCCATAGTGGTATGAAGTGTTCACTGCTTTAGCTGAAAAGGTATGAAACATGAGAATAAACGGTGGTGGGAGAATACCAGACCCTTAACCTTCTGTGAGGTGCTGTGACTACAGCTCAGGGTAGGAGTTAAGAGTGAGGCTCCTCACTGCCTGAGGTCACATCCTCACAGCTCTGTAACCTCTGAACTTCAGTCTTCTCAGCAAAATGAACACAATAAGAGATACAGTTCTTTGCTGTCTAACTGCAAAAATTGTATGAACCTATTCATATTGCTATATCTCACTTATAATCATGTGTATTATAAAATGTTACCTATGATGGCAATGATAATTTATAGTTTGTAAAAAAAAATCTAAAATTGATAAATCAAGAGAATGTAAGCCTGGGCTGGTGGCTCATACCTGTAATCCTAGCTACTCAGGAAGTTTAGATCTAAGGATTGTGGTTTAAAACCAGCCCAGGTAGGAAAGTCAGTGAGACTCTTATCTCACATTAACCATCAGAAAATTGGAAGTGGAGCTGTGGATCAATGGTAGAGAGCTAGATTTGAGCAAAAGAGCTTAGGGACAGTGCCCAGGCCCTGAGTTCAAGCCCCATAACAGACACAGACACACTCACAAAAATAGGTTGGTAAGTGAGCCTCTGTCTGAGTCTCACAGTCATGGTAAGAAGTGTGAAAGTGGAAAGTGTTCTAAAACTCACATGCCCTTGATACCTGGCTCAGGATTAAAGATGAACTTATGGTAAAAGAAAAGTTGTTCCTAGTATGGAAGCTAGGATGTTGAAAACCACTGATTGTAGTTAAACTAATGGAATTCTCAGAAGTAGTCACCAGATTTCTCTGCTCCAAAGCTATTGTACTCTGTATTCTTTGGGGCACCATAAGTCCAACCTCACCCAGGGAGAGGTGAGAGTCAGCCTCCCTTCTGGAGTAAAGGGTGTGCATGTTCATTGCTTAGAATTGTCCCAGGTGGAAAATGCCATCCTTCACCCCACTTACTGATGTAACTATTTGTATTACTTTGGATCCTTTTATATTTTGGGTTATAGTCTAATACTGGGTCACTTCTTTGTTACTGAAATCATACCATTTGGCCATTGGGCCAAAATTTGCATCTGTCTTTGACATGCTCATTATTTTGCTTTTTGAGCAGCTTCTTACTTTTTGGGCATAACGATCTAGGCAATTATCTTTAATCTGATGTAGTACAAAATGTAATTGTTTTTTAAATAAAAAGCTTGTCAGAATCTGATTCAGTGTAGTCAGACACAAATTTATGTTTTTATAATCCTAGCCACTATGTAGATTAATGTTCCCTTAATGTATCAGTAAACTGTAAGCATATGCTAAAACGTCATTCTTGCATTATGGTTAGCATTAATAAGTCAGAGAAGCCTTACCCAGTATTTTACTGTGAAAGTTATGCATAAAGTTCTACATCAACTGCTCGCCATCAGAGTCTTTAAGTTGTTAGTACTCAGGACCTTGCCACCTAGCTACATGCTGAGCCTTGTCATAAAAGTCACGTCCTACCACATTTTCTTCAAAGGAGAGCAAGGTGCTGCGCACAGTCCCTCTGCTGGTGGCCTGCCTCCCCCAGGACAAGTGCACAGTGAAGGTTGGCCGTCGCTTCAGTGGAGAAAGGTAACGGAAGACGCTCACTGCAGCGGGGCCCGAGGCCTGGGTGGGGACAGCGATGAGTGACGGTCGGTCAGCAGAGACTTGTCAGTGTATCAGCTTAGCCAGATGACTTAACAGAGGGTTGTTTCTTTTTTTTCGGGGGGGGGGAGGGGGAAGTCCTTGGGCTTGAACTCTGGGCCTGGGCACTCTCCTGAGCTCCTTTTGCTCAAGGCTAGCACTGTACCACTCGAACCACAATGCCACCTCCAGTGTTTTCTGTGATGAATTGGAGATGAGAGTCTCATGGACTTTTCTGGCCTGGCTGGCTTTGAACCACAGTCTTCATATCTGAGCTGCCTGAGCAGTTAGGATTATAGGCGTGAGCCACTGGTGCGTGGCAAGGTTGGGGGAGGGAGACTTTTATTAGGGATTTAGTAAGCATAATGAAACTTCTGTTTTCTCCTCAACCTAATAAAGATGTACTTACAAAAAACATTTTTTTAGAGATGTTGAGCTTTCAACTGTTTGCCAGAAGTCTGGAACATTAATATTATATCCAGGGGCTGAAGCTACCGATTTGGAAGAATTTCTGTCAAGTTCCCCTGTTTACCCTTCCACACTTGTCATCATCGATGGCACCTGGAGCCAGGCCAAGGACATCTTCTATAAGAATTCCCTGTTCCGACTTCCCAAACAGGTAAGCCGGCATGTGTGCATAGACTTGTGTGCCATGTGTACTTGACTGGCTGTAGGATATGTGTTCTGTATTTATACATAAATACACGTATATTTACAGTCTCAAGGTTACCTCTGTGTACTAATGCTTTTATGAAAAAGTTTTATATTTAAATACTTAGCTACTAAATTACCTAATTCTTATTTGGAACCATTAAACTTTTTGGTATTACTTGTGGCTAATCCTAAAGTTCATCCATGCAGTTAGTTATAATCTGTGTCCTAGTATTGAAACATTCTTGTTTCTGGAATACATTCTTCTGACTACCAAAATGTTTTGATACATAGCTGAAGTTTATATATTACTTAATGTAACTGAATTATAACATACTATTTTTTGTACTTTAATTGTTAAGTTTAGAGGCTAAGGTAATCCTAGATTCACAAGATGAATCACAGATTTTAATATTTCTCTGTGGCCTAGAATAAGTTAAATAATTTTGTAAATAATTGCTTAATTTCTGGTCCTGGTCACTTTAAAGATGACATTTTAATCCTTCCAGACTTTTTTTTTTTTTTTGGGTTGGTCGTGGAGCTTGAACTCGACCTGGGAGTTGTCCCTCAGCTCACAAGACCTCACAAGGCAAGCGCTCTACCGCTTGAGCCACAGCGCCACTTCTGGTTTTCGAGTGGTTTATTGGAGATAAGAGTTTCACGGACTTTCCTGCCCAGGCTGGCTTTGAACCACGATCCTCAGATCGCCTCCTGAGTAGCTAGGATTACTGGCATGAGCCACTGGTGCCCGGCTCCTTTCAGACTTTTATAGAACATATGTCTCAAGCTTTTTACTTGCATTTGACCCATTTTAATAGCTCATATATTTCCTAGGAATTCTCTTTTTTCTAAGTTAGCACATTGGCTGGTGTATACTAAAATACATCTTTACATAATTATTTTAATTTTTTCCTGTATGTTTTTTTCTTATTTCTAAATCACATACATACACACACACACACAATAAACACACTTTTTTCATGAAGATTCAAAAAGTTGTTTGCTAGGATTACAGGTATATGCCATGATGCCTGGGGAAGTTTATTAGCCTTTAAGACTATAATCTTTTAGGTTTTCTTCCTTCTCTCTTCCTCCCTCCTCCCTCTCCTCTCACTCCTTCCCCTCTTCCCTTGCCGTGTGCCAGTAGAGCACAAGTACTTGCCCGGGAAGCATTCTACCCCTTGAGCTCTGCCCTGTCCTTTTGCCCTTTTACTTTGTTTTGGACAAGATCTTGCCATCTGTGCCCAGACCGGTCTTAACTAGCATCCTCCTGTTTCTGCTTGCTAAGTATTTGGTATTATAGCACACCTAGCTGGTTAAGTCTTATTTCTAAATGTGGTTTGTTATGTGTTTCTTACCTTACTCTTTTTTTTTTTTTTTGGGTCCGGTTGTGGGGCCTGAACTCTGGGCCTGGGTGCTGTCCCTCAGCTCTTCAGTTCAAGGCTAGCGCTCTACCACTTGAGCCACAGCGCCACTTCCGGCTTTTTCCTTTTTGCTTATATGGTGCTGAGAAATCGAACCCAGGGCCTCAGGCTTGCAAGGCAAGCGCTCTACCACTGAGCCACCTTCCCAGCCCCTTACCTTACTCTTAATACACACAAACCCATCACTTTTTAAAAAATTGACTTGTCTTAGGTTTTGTTCTTAATTTTGTACATTTATTTAGTCTATAATAGTATAAATTCATGAGAGAAAAATGGTAGAAAAGATAGAAAAATCAGAATTTAATCCAAAGCATTGCTTTCTTTATCGATAAAAAAGAACCATATTTTTCTCCTAATAATGAGTAACCATATGTAAATTTCACACTAAACATAATTGAGGAATGGAAGTATAGTAATGCAAACCTGCTAACTTGGTTCCTTTTAATTTGGAATTCTAATAACCCAGACCATTTGGCAGTGAATCTTTTCCCTCAGAGGAGTCTTTCCTATGAGGCTCTGGACGTTTGCTAGGAATAAATCCAAGATGAGTGAGGAAATGTTTGTAGAGGCCCCTGGCTTTCTTTGCAAATACATTTTCATGCAGTACTTGCATAGTTTTGCTTTGCTGCTTTTAATCCATTTACTAAGGCTTAGTGTTTCCCTTGGCGAGCAGAGAGCACCATAGAGAGCACTCAAGGACCAAGTTACTGTCCTGTGTTACAGAGTGGTTTATGTTGTATGTCTGTTCTATTGCCAAATTTACCCTTGCTTTTTAAAAACTTAAAAAAAATGTATTCTCAGTATTGGGAGTTGCTTTACTTTCAGAAGACACTTTAAATAGTATTTTTTTTCCCCCACCAGAGTTAATAGTGTAAAAGATTCTGGACTAGCATGGTGTAGCATAGCCTCATTGAGTAGTGGGTTCTGAATAACTCGTTCTGCTTAGTGCTTGTTAATGACTTCGGTTCTTCCCAGTACATGTGTTTTTCATCAGAGAGATAACCATATCGCATCACAAGACCTCAGCTTAATGTGAAGCCAAGGCCAGAGGCCTTTGTAGCTGTGATTTTGCCTTTTGACCTTGGCATATCATTGGTGGTTGTGTTGACAGAATATGTCCATACCTCCTTTCTGGCTCTTGTACCCTTCCTCATATACCACAGAGCTGCTCTCTGAGCCTATAGATCCTGTTTACATAGACAAACTGAGTGACATTAAATAAGGTGGCTTCTTTTTGATGTGTGATTCTAGGTGATAGAAGAGTATGAGATAGGATTTTGGTACAGCAATACGTAAGGGGATAATGTAGAAAGGTTCTCATGGACCTCCCTGTGGCATTCCCCTATGTATAGAGGAGTATGAGGCAGGAGGAGCTGGGATGCGGCGGTATGTAAGAGGACAAGGCCTTCATGGACCTCCATGTGCGTTATGTGTAGAGTTTGGACCTCCATGTGTGTAGAGGAGCTGGGGCAGGGGCTGGATGCGGCGGCGGTATGTAAGAGGACAAGGTCTTCATGGATCTCTATGTGCGTTATGTGTAGAGGAGTTCGGACCGCCATGTGGCATTCCCCTATGTATAGAGGAGTTGGGGCAGGGGCTGGGATGCGGCAGTATATAAGAAGACAAGGTCTTCATGGACCTCCATGTGCATTATGTATAGAGTTCGGACCTCCATGTGTGTAGAGGAGCTGGGGCAGGGGCTGGGATGCGGCAGTATATAAGAAGACAAGGTCTTCATGGACCTCCATGTGCATTATGTGTAGAGGAGCTGGGGCAGGGGCTGGGATGCGGCAGTATGTAAGAGGACAAGGTCTTCGCGGACCTCCATGTGGCACTGTGTAGAGGAGCTGGGGCAGGGGCTGGGATGCGGCAGTATGGACTGAGAGGATAATGTAGAGAGGTTCTCACGGATCTCCATGTGGCATTCATTCCCCTTTGTGTGGAAGAAGCCCTTTCACAACAAGGACTGTTCACTGTTCCTGAGCCTTCTGCTTCCCGGTCCCCTTTCTTAGCACGGTCACATTGGGGATTAAGTGTCCAGCACATGAATTCAGTAAGACATATCAAACTACAGCAGGCTGAAATCCCAGAGGATGCAGCACTGCCATAGGGAAGGGAAGGAGAATTCAGTCAAGCATTCAGTTTTGTAGTACGTAGGGTGAATTCTTGACTGTACTTTCTCCCTTTCCCCTCATTCATGTACTCTCTCCCCTTGGTTCTATCCCCTTCTTGCGAGTACCCATTTCCTGGTACTTATTTTTTTGGGCTTTAACTTAGTCTTCTTTATTTCTTTCCCGTTGGTCGTGGGGCTTGAACTTTGGGCCTAGGTGCTGTCTCTTAGCTCTTCAGCTCAAGGCAAGTGCTCTACCGCTTGAGCCACAGCCCCACTTCTGTTTTTTTCTGGTGGTTTATTGGAGGTAAGAGTCTCACTGACTTTCCTGCCCAGGCTGGCTTTGAACTGTGATCTTCAGATCTCAGCCTCCTGAGTAGTTAGGATGACAGGCATGAGCCACAGGTGCCTGGCTTTTGACTTAGTCTTTCTAAAGAATTATACTGTTTGAGCTCTTCATGGAGTCTGTTATACTTCAGTTAATTGGTTTGTGCCTATTTGCATACCACCCCGTGTATTTACTGAAGAGGTGGTTGGGAGGGTGAGTGAGAATGGTGGAAAGTTGGCACTGGTGGAGAGGCGCTGTACGTGAACTGCTCTGTGCAAGGGCAGCTCCTGTGAACAACCTAAAGATCATACAGAGAAGACAGTAAGGGAAGGGATGCGTCTAGAGAGAATGTTGGCGGGTGGCACTGCTCTAGACGCTTCACATCATAAACCGCTTTGTGGAATGGTAACTGCTTTGTGCAACTGCTTAACAGTACCTTGGAAAAAGAAATTTTGACGAGTCATGAGCTGTTAGTCAAATCTGCATTACAGTTTGCATGCCCACACCAAGCAGCATTCTTTGGTAATGCCTGCTCAGAGGCAGCATCCCTTTCCTTTTTCTTCCACCAAGGAAAAAAAGATCTGACTGTAGAGAAGAACTCTCTACACATAGAGCACAAGCTGAACTGTGTTTCTCATCAAGAGAAAGAACCACAAGAGGGGTGTGGAGGGACAGGATGCCGCAGCTGAGGGTTCACGACTCAGGTTGCTTTGGGATACTGGAAGTTAGGAAAGGATGTCAGATTTTAATAGCTAATTGCCAGTGTTGCCTGAACTTCCAGTACACATGTTCTCATATTTTATGAGTAAATATGAAATTAAGATATAATCATCTTTTTTAAAAATATTTTTTATTGAGATTAGGTGATTACATAAAATTCACATATTTCACAGTATTGTGGGATAGTGATCCTTCAAGTCACAAACACATTTTAACCTTCACAAGGCAATTTGTCATTATCATGGTCTATAAAGTTTGTGAATTATGAGCTTTGACAATACAACTGTTTCTTCCACATCAGGTGATATTTACATTTCTTTCCCTTTGCGTAGTGTCATCTGTCCCTGTTTCCCTGTCCTTCCCTCCCTCCCAGCGCTGCCCTTGAGTTGCTTAGTTCATTCTCCTCAATGCCTAGCGGGCCTCTCTGTTTATGCTCATATCTTTCAATGTGATTCTGACCAGACTGTGGAATGTGATTTTATCAGTGTAAGGTTGGTTGAATTTTAATTGAATTTAAAACAGGAATCAGAAGGCTAAACTGTTGCAAATATGTTTAGTATACCACTTTTTTTTCTTTTTGGTTCTGGTCCTGGGACTTGAACTCGTGGCCTGAACGCTGCCCGAGTTGTTTGCTTAAGGCTAGCAACTCTACCACTTGACTCATAACTTCACTTGTGGCTTTTTAGTGATTAATGGAAATGAGAATCTGATGTGCTTTCCTGCCTGGGCTGGCTTCGAACCATACTCCTCAACGCTCAGCCCCCTGAGTAGCTAGGATTACAGGTATGAGCCACCAATGCCTGGCTTAACCTGCTACTTTTTACTTAAGATATATACTTTTGTGTGTATTTATACCATTATCACACAGAAATATTTCTGTCAATTTATATTAAGAACTTTTGGAATGATAAACTGTAAATACATAAGATTGTAAAATTATTCTCTAAAATGATGATACCATTTTAGTTCCCAGTGTGTGTTTTATTTCTTCCTTGTCCTAAAAGTGTCTGATACTAGCTACTCTAATGATGTGAAATATTAGCCTGTTGTGGTTTTAATTTGTAGTAGATCACTTGAGCGTCCCCTGCTGGCCCTCATAGTGTTGTGAGTGAGCCCAGGCCCTTGAGCATGCTGGAAAACACTGAGTGCAGCACTGTACCCGTGATCCTCAGCCCCTCAGGCCCTTCTCCTATACCAATTGCCGTTCATGTATCGTGATTTGTGAAGTGTGTATTCGTTCTTTTTCTCACCGGAAGGGAGTTGTCAGTTTCTCATGTTGGAAATACAGGACTTTGAATATATTCTGGAAGTATTTTCTTTGTCATACGTATTTGTAACTAGTCATTTAATATTAAACAGTTACAACAATAAAATGATAACAGATGTTGGTATACTTAATATGTATAAACCACTGGTAATTTTAGGAGGAAAGTGATTTGTGTTTAAAGCACAGTTTTAGTGGTGCATATTTTTATCCCAGCATTCCAGAAAGAGAGGCAAGTTTGAGGCCAATCTGAAGTACCTATATAGCATGACATTGTCTCAAAAAAACCTCAAACTATCAACTAATCCAAAATAAAAAAAACAAGCCTCCAAAAGCTAAATAAAACACAGGCCTTAAAATTTGAAAATTTGTTTATTTATGTTTTTGTGCTTTTTTGTTCCAGGTGCAGTTAAAAACTAACATTTCCAGTCAGTATGTAATTCGGATGCAACCCACTAATAGATGCCTTTCTACCCTGGAATGTGCTGCTGTTGCTCTTTCCATCCTAGAGAAGAATGTTCACATACAGGAGGTATGTGCAAGGTAGTGGGGTTTTCTCTGTGTGTGTGTGTGTGTGTGTGTGTGTGTGTGTGTGTGTTTTAAACACTAGTACTGGGCTTGAACTCAGGGCCAGGGGGCTGTCTTTTACTTTTTTTCATTTAAGGGTAGAGCTCTATCTACCACTTGAGCCATACCTTTAATTCCATCTTCTTTTTGGCTAGTTAATTGGAACTAGAAGTCTTGCAGATTTTTCTGCATAGGCTAGCTTTGAACCCTGAGTAACTAGGATTACCGACGTGAGTCATCAGCACCCCACAGAGATTGCAGTTTTGGAGAGTAGTTTGGTTAAATTTTATTTAGGAAACTTACACATGATTAACTTGTAAAATTTGTTACTTAAGAGGTAGAAATTTATGTCTGTTGTAATCTTATTTCCTCCTTGGTATTTTCTGGATTAGAGTTGCAGATTGTATTATTTAAATATTCACACTGCTGAGCAAATAGCGTAATAAGTGCCATTGCACAACATAACATGGAATTTTCTTTTTTGACTTTTTTTGGAAGTCTGTATTCTCTTATGTCCAACTAAAACATTCTACAACAATATTAGTTTTTTCCATTGGTGCCTTTATTTGAGGAAATACAGTACCATCCTATTTATTAAAATTAAACTTGCTTTGAGTGTAAAATAGATCCTTGTTTTTTGGATAGAAATGCCTACAGAATATGGAAAGGTTGTGAACTTCAATCACCACACATTCTGTTAGTTTCCATGAATATATGATGATTGCTTATATAATTAATAATCATCAGCAAAAATACTGCTTCAGTGACCTTACTAATAATATCAATCTTTTGGAATATGTAACAGGCTTTTTTTTTATAGCAGTGGAAAAACTAGCTACACTTAAATTGTTAGAGTTTTTTTTTTTTTTAACAATTTGGAAAGTTTGGTAACTATAATCCGAGAAGAAGGTTAGAGGAAAACCAGCATAACTAACTGGAGATATAGAAGACTCCTTCTGACAGACACACCACAGCACATACATGCACACACCTCACACGCACCCTCTCTCCCTCCCTCCTTTTCCTACCTCCTTTTCCACCCACCTGCCTTCCACATTATGTACTGTGTTATAGAGACTGTGCCTTAACCCTGAAGGAAGTCCCAGTGGGTAAACATGCAGTTCTGAGTACAAGATGTTAATCCTAAAGAGAACTAAAAGCTCTCAAGAACCAGAAGGGCTAAGTGCCTGAAACCGTCATTGAACTGTTTTCTCTCCCTGGCCCTAAGCATGGGGAATGTCAGAGCTGGAGACCTTTCTTCTTTTGAAACAGCTGGGCTTCTTTTAGGTGTATAAATGTGTGAATAGACTTTGTTTTGGGTCTAGGCAATTTTGCTTTCTCCCTTCTCTGCTTTGAAAAATAAATAGTGATCTCAGACTCCCCTCCCCCTTACCCTTTCTACCCACTCTCCACGCTCAGGCCGTCATCAGAGCAGGAGTGACCTCAGACTCCCCTCCCCCTTACCCTTTCTACCACTCCATGCACAGAGGCCGTCATCAGAACAGGAGTGACCTCAGACCCCCCTCCCCCTTACCCTTTCTACCACTCCACGCACAGAGGCTGTCATCAGAACAGGAGTGACCTCAGACCCCCCTCCCCCTTACCCTTTCTACCCACTCTCCACGCTCAGGCCGTCATCAGAACAGGAGTGACCTCAGACCCCCCTCCCCCTTACCCTTTCTACCCACTCTCCACGCCCAGGCCGTCATCAGAACAGGAGTG